ATAGCCACAATAGAGTGGTATGCACTGTAAAAGTGTGCACTGGCTTCAGCCAAATCCTCATTCAAATTGAGCCACTTCAGATAGTTCTGGGGCTGTATGAGGTGAAGCAGATTTCCCAAAGTGTTCAGCACAGATCATATAATCAGAAGCTTAGGCATGATTTAGTGATTTAGGCCACTATAGAACAGCAGGTAATATATCTGCAAAAATACACAATGCTGCTTTGCTTTCATCTTTGCATATATGGAAAATGCCAGAGAGAGAGGCAGGAAGGAAAGAGTTGAAATTTCCAGGTCTTTCTTATAATGCCAAGGAATGGTTCATTATGAGGTAGCTAATTATTGTTCTTTAGAAGCAGAACATTGTATTAACTTTTATTTGTTAATTTCATTAACTCCCTCCAAAACCAAAAAATACACATTTTTAAAAGACATTCAGAATTAAAGGATTCTCTCTTCAACCCCCCTGCACTAATCCTTATCTAATTTCTCAACTTTCTATGCAAGAAACGTTATCACTCCCAGGCACAGACTGACAAATAGAATAATTTTTTTCCCCCTTCCTACCCTAAATTTGTTAAGACACTTTCCACATATACATCCCCATGCTTATCTTTTTGATATCTGGCAGGATGTAGTCATGCAGAAAGAACAATTATGCCTGTAAATATCATGTACTTTTGTTCTAGCAATTAAAAAATTACAGGCAGTTTCATTCTCTAAAAAAGCAGAATGTGAATATGTCTATTCTAAAAACCCTGCATCAATTTTTCTCAAATGGGAAGGTCTCATGGCTCAGAAGGATAAATTCTCTCAAATGTCATCACATTGTGTTAAAAGTTAGAATCAGAAGTAGGATTTCCATAGCAATCAATAGAAGGAATGAAGTTTGGAAACTTGCTTCTGATTTGAATCCTACATTGAATCCAGCAGTTTCCTGCTAGACCCAAATTAAAACAGATTATATTTATAATTGAAGACCAGACCAAATAATGATTTTTAAGTCATGCTGTCTCTTTTTAGGAACTGCCACTGTATTGGATCATGTCCTGAAAATTTAGCACTTTTGTCTTCCTGTTTTTAAGAGAACTCTAAAACCACTGATGCTGGCAATGATACAATGAACTGATATAAATAAGTGTACTTATGAAATGGGGATTGACTTGATTTTGCTGCTATACATCATGGGTTATAATGTACTCTTATCCAAATGTGGTAACCACATTTGTAGACTGGCATGAAATATTCTAAACTATGCTTAATTGCTTCCTACATAACTTCAAATAGAATGAACAGAGTATGTCTCTTCAGGCTCTCAACTGAATACTAATTTTGATTTATTGAAACCATAATAGTTGCTATAATCATAGTACTTAGCATTTTCATTTTCTGTGGGGCATGAAAAATCCAACAATTAATCATTACCAATCTTCAGTTAGTGTTTGTTATTTCATACACAACTGTGAATTAAGGAAGTATTTTACCTCTTGTCTTTTCCTATTTCTATAACAGATACCAAAAGGGTAATATAGTACTAAACATGGATTTGGACTTTATTGTCTGTCTGCTTCTCTGAGAAATACCATGGAAAGATTTTACTGGTGATAGTTGGAGGAGTTATTTCTCCATTGAAATAATCTTTGAAGTCCCTCAGAATCCCATCCCCACCCCATGAAAAGCAAAGGAACCATATGAGGGGATTCTTTAAGATTTATCAGACAAGGTCTCACATGCAAGAACCTTCCTGTATAACAATTATTCTTTTTTTATTCATAACATATCCAAAATAGAAAAATAGTAGTTTCTCTGAGAGACTGATTTTTTTCAGCATAACTGTGCATACAGCATTCAGCTAATACATACAGAGCTCTGGCTTCTCCCTCACTTGTTTTTCTTAATGGCCTAATTGCTTTACCATTATGAGATTAACTATACTCTAGCCTGGAATAGTATTTCTTCTGTTAGCCTACCAATGTGCTTAACATATATGCAGTATAAACACAGTGTGTGTAGATATTATTACATTCTTCATAAAGTTAACAAAGGGCTTTTGTTAGAACTTAGCTGATGATGTCTCATGGCTAGCACAACCATGATGATCTCCTTGTGTCTTCAGATCCTCCTCTCCCTCTGGAAATTTGCACCAAGTAGGCATGGTTGTACACTGCATCATCTCCCTCTTTGGTGTGTTGAATTACTGAGGAACCTGGGCCCCTTCAGCAGTCTCAGATTGTCTGGGTCCATCTTTGCTCACTAGCCATTTTTTCTTTCTCATTCCCTGTGAACTCAAACCGCTTCCTGTCAGCTCCTTAGCCCATTTCAACTTTCCTTCCCCTTGATAGACTATGTATGTAAAAGCCTTTGTTCTCTCCTCCTAGCTGTTTCTCAGGTTTAGTTTATCAGTCACAAGAACAGTCTGTATGCCTTAGAGATCACATCTTAGGATGGTAAATGGGGTCTACATTCTTCCTTCTGTCAGCCTAAAGTTTTAATAATTTTCTGTTACCAACCACCAGATTTAGATTTTGGATACACTTTGGGCCAAGTTATAAGAGTCCAGATTGATTTACAGTCATGATATTTGTTTTAAAGTGCTTCTTCTAAAAAATGTATAATAGAATATCACAAGCTGTATATATAGCTTCACTTTAAATAAGGACTGTTTTGGTTATTTTTTAAGAGTATCTATGAATTTGAGAAATTATATTATATTTATGCATAATAACCAACAAAGCCTGTGGCAAAGGATTACTTATTCCCAAATCAAGTATCCCTTCGCTTGGGTTAATAAGTTTTCCTCACATGGACATCAGAAATGAAACAGTTTATACTATTTATGTATTTGTATTATATACAAGCTTCTCTGATACATCTCAATCAAAGAGCAAAATATACATTTTGTATTAAATGAGATAGACACTGTACTGGATAAATGATCTTTTTTTTAAAAAAACAATGTGGCTTAAATATATATTTAGATTTTTCATCAGCTTTTGTACATGTTCCATACATTTATGTGTAGATATTGAATCTTTTTCAGTATTATCCTCACCCAGGAGAAGATTCAGCTAAATTTAAACATTTCTAATATTTGTTTATTTCATTGTTTATTTGTTTATTTAAACATGTTCTTAAATTTTCTTCCATTAATGCATAATTGCTTGGATTGTACCTTATTTTTGCAACTTATTTTGTTTTAGCCCTACATTAAGTTGGTCTTCCACTGCTCTATGTAATTCTATCAAAGACAAATGTACAATTTCCATAGTCTGTTTTACCATCTGCTAAAAGAAAGGAAAAAGTTCTCTTTATAACTTTAAATGATATTTAATTGATATTGAGGGGAACAGCTGTTTCTAGATACAGAGTACTATATGAAAATAGCTACACTACTTATTACAGTCCAAACTGTTATATATGTTTGAGATTCTCAGAGCCGTTCAGCATAGAATGACATTCCCAAGTGGTTAAATTCCAGCTGGTATTGCAGGTGTTCAGTGCTTAGGAGATGCCGTAAAGCTGCCCGTCGGACCTGTAAAAAATGGGAAGTTACTAACAATTCATCCCTTCCTACTAATTCTACAATCAGAATGTTAAGTGGTTGATTCTCTACTATTCTTTCATCCTGTTGTCTCAGCATTCTTGTGCTTGTTATAAGTTGTGTTTGATATTTCTATCTAGTCCCCTGAAGCATCTGAGGATCCAAGCAGGAATAAATAAAAATCCACCCCATTCTTCTAGTCACATGGATTTACCATCCTTAGTTCTCAATGGAGTTGCACTTCTCCTGGTAAAATCTACATAAATTGAGGATTCTTCTGGACTTGGCTCCTACTCAACAAACAGATGGCAGCTGTCACCAAGACAGCCATTGCACAAATCTATCTTGTCTGTCAATTATGTTCTTCACTGGATTGGGAAGCCCTTCTCACAGTCATCCTTGCCCTAGTCACCTCCCACTTAGGTTATTGAATGCTCTCTGCAGAAACCACAATTGGTCCAGAATACAGCCATATAAGCAGTTATGAGCATTCCTCATTTTGTCCACATAACATCTCTGCTTCATGAGCTGCACTGGTTACCAGAAGAATTCCAGGTACAATTCAAGGTGATAGTTCTTTTATAAAGTCCTACATGGATTAGAACCTGGTTACGTTCAAAACCACCTTTCTCTTGTAATTTCTGCCTGACTTGTAAGGTTTGGTAGAGTTGGTGCAGTCCAGTTCCCAGCTGTAAAGCATTACCACCTTATGAGACCTAGGAGACATACCTTCTCTGTAGCTGAACATGCCTTGGAGGTTTGAAAGGCACTGATCATCGCAAAGCTAGGAAAACCTGTCTATTCCAGCAGACTCTGGAATAGGGTATAGTAATCCTAGGGAGTCAGTCCTTTTGAGTTGGTTATCCTCCCTCATGTATGGCTGTGTAGCATAATTACTTGTTTTGTTATATCTATCTATCTATCTATCTATCTATCTATCTATCTATCTATCTACCTACCTACCTACCTACCTACCTACCTACCTACCTACCTATCTATCTAAAGCTTCAAAATGCAGGTACTGTACACAAAACAACCATCTTTAAATAAGAAATCCCTTTTTACCAGCTCTTTTTTGCCAATAACTACTAGACCTTCCCTTTATCATCAGTACTAAAAGAGCACAGGACCTAAGTGCTTTGCTCAATATGTAAGAAGTTGTTAACACAAACTCCAGCAGAAAGGGGGGGTGGGGGCAGGTTTAAAATATAGTTTTCTTCAGCTTGCTGGTTTTTCCTAGCTAACTGAGAGCCTTGTTTGTTTTTTAAGTGCAGGATTCTGCTACTTCATTTCTCCAGTCACTTGAGATAAAAGAGTTACCCTGATAGTGTTTCTTCTGGGTTTTGAACCAGCACCTTATTACATACTAGGCAAAGCTCTTAGTCACTGTGCTACTTCAATAAAAATAAAACAGATCATCTTAGAAGCTCTTAGATATGGAAATAACTTTTGCCCACTTGAGGAGGTATTCCTTCCTGTGAAACGTAGTGAATGAACTGCTGGAATAAGCTTCTGGAACTGCGTGTAAGAAAGAAAAGTGCTTCAGCCAAAAGAAAAAAGAATACTTGAGGTAACATGAGAGGAGAAGAGTTATTTCAAACCACAGCAGGAAAACATGTCTGGAGGTTGCATTTGCAATGGGAGGGAGGTGAATAAAAGCTAACATCATCAATTTATGCCCTCAGAAAATAGTTGCTTTCCTGTCCTGGCAACAGGGTATCTAAGCAATGCCACTAAAACCTAAGAGGACTTTCACACCTCCATAAAATAATATTTTTGTAAAAGTCCTAAAACCTTACCATCATCAGCTCTTTATTAGCATAGTGCATTTCTTCTTTCATTTCTGCTTGTTGCCTCTTCCTGCTCTTTGCAAAACACTTATCTTCCTGTGATTTCAACTGCAAGCACATGGCTCGGCCACGTTCCCAGCTATGGAAGCAGAGGTGTGATGGGGGAGATAGCGTGGACCATCAATAGTGTAGCGCAAATCTGATAGGATATTCTTTGTTTATCAAACTGCTAATGTTCTGTTTCTTACAAGGAGTTTCACTATTATTAGAGTTCTGCTATTCAAATTCAAAGAGGAAATGAGCATATATAAGCAATCCCAAGCAAAGGTGCAGCAGCCTTACTGACAGCTGCTACTTAAATATCTTGCACACTCTAAAGCACCTTTTTCTCTTTGAATCTGAAACACTGCACAACCTAATTACTAAGTTTTGATTCCACCTCATCATGTTACTTTTTTTAAAATGTCAAGTCAAAGCACTCATACATTTAATACAACTTAACAATGTTGTATTAAATGTATGATTGCTCTTAACTTGACATTTTGAAAAAGTAACATGATGAGGTGGAATCAAAATCATGACCTGGTAGGAAAGGACCTGGATTTTAATCCTTTTCTCTTCCAATATATTCTTGATATAAATATTTTCTGTCAAGTTGCTACAAATCCCCAGAGAAAAGCTTTTATTTATGCCACATTTCTATAAATGTGATTAGCAGCTGTATACATAGCAGCTATGGATAAAGGACCCTCCCCCAGAATACTAAGATCTTAGTCTTTCTCCCTAGATTCTCCCTATATTCCAAAAACTCTATGCACCAAGAGTTGGTTCCCCCGCCCCCCAAAGGTCAGGTTAAATGTAATAACACAATTAATGTCATATGCTGATTTTAAAAGAGAAGAAAGGACTTATGGGTATAATATATATACAGTCTTAGAAGGTTTACCCCTGTAGCCTTTTCTTCCTTAATGAACATTTAAATGCCTGCATACCTGCACCCAGTCTGTGCAGTCCCCCCATATCAAACCAGGAAGAATTGAAGGACTAAGTTTTGAAACAAAGGAAAGTTTGTGTGATTAGGATAAACATGCAATATATTAAAAACCATTCTTGAAACTGGGACTGCTGCACAAATATTCTGTTCTGTTCTATCTTATGTATATTCTATGCTTTTCTATTCAAATTAGCTCTCAACATCTGTTTTAAAAAATGCAGACAAAACTTAAAATTGATACTAAAATTACAACCACAATAAGAAAGATGTGCCAGCTCTTGTTGATATAGTTCTTTAATGTTCCTTTTACTAGTTGCATTTCCATGTTAGATCTTACATGCATATTTTACAATAATCTGTATACAGCAGTGAGTATATAAATCAGTGATTACATACCATCATAAACTGTCTCATAACAAAAGAAAGGTATGCTTAGGAAGCGTTTTGGTTTATTTTGGTTTAGAAGGTGGCTTTATTCCCCATCAGTTCATAGTCTGGGTGTATTTGTCAATTGTGCCTTACCACTACAGATACCTTTTAGGTGAGGCAGTTTAATGTTAATGGTCATAAAGGCATTCAAGGATGCCTCCTTGGATGCCTACCAAGTTCCCTGTCGTACCTGACTTTTTAATGTTTCTCTTAATTTGCTTAATTGAGAAGATGGCATGCTACAAAACAAGGAATGAGTGTCCAGCATCTTCTTTTTTATTCCTGAGTCTCACATAGGCATTCTTAGAAAATAAAGGTGGAGGATGGGTGCAGTTCCCAGCTTTACTTGGAAGTATGCCATCTATTCAAGAGAAACAGAACACTGGAAGATGATGCATAAACTGAATGAAAATCTGTGTACATGGTTTGTAAAAAATAAATGTCCTTGTTTCAGATAATAAAGAAAATCAAAAGAAAAAAGAGCTTTGGTGGCCAGCAACTTCCAGCAAGAGATGGCATTAAAAGAAATAAAAAGTCCACTTACTCAAAAAATAAACAAAGTAAGATAGGTGGCTAGAGGAAATGGCTGGGAATTTCTCCCCAGACTGTCATTTAGTAAATGGGCATTTTATTAGTGACCATGCTCATCTTAGCCATAATTTTATGAGTAAGGAAGCCCTCTTTTGTAGCAGACATTAATTAAAGTAGTCTCTCTCAAAAGTTCAAATGTGCCACGAATCCTATCTCGACATACACAGTCTTGCTAAGTTATCCAAGGTATAAAAACATCATGGCTGTATTGTTGTCTTGTGCTGTATTTGAAAATATATAAACTTCAGCTGATTTAAAATAGAGCAGCAGACTTTAACCAGGATTGTGTGGCTTATTCACTGCCAGAACTAAACAATATCTAATGTGCCAGAGCACCAATAATACACTTACCGATTACAGTTTGCCGTTCACAGCAAATAAATAGCCGTTATATAACAGGCGAGCCCTGATGTACCTTTTGAGTTGAGCCCAAGAGCTGACTTAAATGAGGCCATGGGATTGGAAGGTTCTGTAATTTATCATCCATTTGTGGTTTCTGTCTTATCTGCATTTTCAGCTAAATGTCAAAAGCTTCACAGAACTGCATGCTTTCTGCCTTATATTTCAGGATTGAACAGAGGCTTTTAGTCACAGTTAAAAGGCGGGATTTCAAAATCCATTTACCTTTGGATAAATTTAGAAAACTCTTTAGCTTTTGCCAACATCTGAAATGGAACAAAAGATAGTGTAAAGCAAAAGGTCTAGCTTGTATCCTGGTCCTAATGACTGTAATAGAAGCTCTTTTTCACTTAACAGAAACTATCCTGTATAAGTGGCCCCCTTTTTTTTTAACTATAATGTGAGCAAGGTTCAAGAATAGTACATGTTTACTGTTCAGGACCAACAAAAACTCATGACTGATAGGTAAAGAATGAATTTGTTTGTATGTGTTTACTTAACCTGAGCTGACCAGTGAGAGTTGTTCTATATTGGCAAGGCTATTGACTCTTTCCCCAGCTTTTTTCTTCTGCCTTATTCTTTACTCAACCTTTTCTCCCAGCTCTTTCATAGTAGAATGCGAAGGGTGTATTTGGCCCCATCTCTCCCTTTACTTCTCTCATTCTCTTTTAATAGCTGTCCTAAATGGGTACTTCCACATGTGGCATTCAAGCTTGGCTCCCACATCTCAGCTGATCAGCTGAGTCAATTTACTTTCTGCTTAGCTATGGTGCAAGAGGAATTACAACAAAGGTGACTTTGCTGTAGGAATTCTGGAACTTGGAGGGTGGGCTCTTTCCATGGATGGGAATCTTACTTCCCTTCTGGCTCCTTACCATTCTCCTTCCTCACCCAATAATACATAAGTAGTTACAGCACTATGTTATCAAAGTTATTCAATGTTTTTTTTTTTCAGTCCAAAACGTTTCAAGTTAGAAATGGCTGTCCTTAATTGAAAATGGTTTATTCTGACCATTCTATTCAAAGTAACCCTGTTTTGACTTTAAAACATTTCTAATGTCAGGAACAACTCTTTTCAAACTCAGAAACATGCTTTTATCCTGAAGCAAAGCATTTGGAGCTTGAAACATTTGAAACATCTCTGCTATCATTTCACTTGAAAGTGAGTATAGGGCCACTTTGCAGCTCCCACACATAGCAATTGGGCCAGTTCTTTTAAAAATCACTTGCTATCTGGATGCTAAGTTTTGTGCACTCTCAGTAGCCAGCTAGAAGGATGCAATATTCTCATCATTTTGAGGTTAGTTGAAAGAATATTTTTCAAACCTGAGGAGTGAAAATGGGGATATGAAAGTGTTCTCCATAACTCTCATAATGCTGCTGAAGAACACTTTTTCCCCCCATGTCTGGGGACAGAGAGATTTGATGTGGCTGATCACGTTTCATGGCTGGCTTATGTTAAGGGAACTGCAAATATTTTTATTTTTTCCTTATGAAGAGAATGAGAAGAATGCTTGGTGTGACTTAAAGCAGTCCTTCCCAAACTTTTTTGTTCATTACTCAAAACTCGGGGGGGGGAGGGCACTGGTGGGTGTGAGCGAAGAAGGGAAGGAGGGTGTGATGCATGTGAGTGAGCGAAGGGGGAAGGAGGGCACAGTGTGTATGTGCGAGTGAAAGGGGGAAGGAGGATGTGGTGCATGCAAGTGAAGAAAAGCCGGGTCAGGTGGGGGGACTTACCCAAGCAACTTGTGACCTCTCTTGCCAGCTTCCCCATTGACTTTGTTTGTGGAAGAGAAGCTGGCAGTGAAGGTTTCAAATGGTGTTCATGTGACCACAAGATGCTGTAACCAGTCATAAGTGCAAGCTGGTTGCCAAGCACCCAAATTTTGTTCACATGACCGCAGCGGTACTGCAATGGCCGGAACTTTGAGGACCAGTTATAAGTCCCTTCCTTCAGCACCATTGTAGCTTCAAATGGTTGCTGAACAAATGGTCATAACTCGAGGGCTACCTGTATTATAAAAACAATATCATTGAATGATCTTTGTCATTTCAACAAATTACCATTGGTAATCTCATCAATTTTCATCTTAACAGGAATACTTTGGGGGATTTTCAAATATATTTTAGTACATATGGGAATCTTTAAGTCAATTTAAATGTCCCTGTTGTGAATGGGTTCATGTGTCGTTACCCCAAAAAAACCACTTTTACCCAATTTTGGGTAATTTACCCACGTTTGGGGAGCACTGACTTAAAGGCTAGTCAAGTAGTTCTATGGTTGGCTTTCTAAGAATAACTTAGAAAGCCCATTTGTATGATCTAACTCTGCTGAAGTTAATGAAAGTCGCAAATGAGCTAAAATATAAAGCAAGATGTATATCCTGACAGGGAGTTGCCTGAGTCATTCAGACAAAAATGGATTATATTGCTCATCTTTGTTAGCAATAATTTTATTCTAATTCCACATGCAAGCATACATTGGATTTAATTACAAGAATCTCAGCGGTGTGAATCTTTAAGAATTAAAGAGTTTAACTAGGCCTTTTGATACTGGTTGTTGAGATGTTATGATTAACTCTCTAATATGCAATAAATTAAATATAAATTGTACACATTTGGAGGCAGGTCATCCTAGTGAAATTGCTATATTGACAGAATTTGATCCTAAGGAAAGCATTTGAAGTGGCCCTTTTTATCATGGTTTGCATTTGGATTATTCATCATTCCATACCTAAAAAAAAAAAAGAATTATTATACAGATTGTGTTTATGAACTGTGATAAGCTGACACAGCTCCTTCCTAACAGTATGTGCCTCAAGAAGCTCTGGCAAGTTGTTTTAATCTGGTTGAAGAAGTAGGCCAGAGTCCTGAATCCAGAATGCTGATCAAAGGTAGCATCTGGTTACTCCCTAAATGATTTTACCCTTCTCCCCTTTTCTTAATTTCCAACTGATTGTAAGAATGTGATCAAATTTATCTGAATGTATGGCCAACCAACTAACTCCTCATGAGGTGGCACGCATTGCAAAAAAGGTTTAGAAATAACCAGCACAAACTAAATAACTACTTCTGTAACTATTCAAAACAGTCATTTAAGCATAATGCAGGGTCATTTGGAAGGGTCCTTCAGGCAAATTATAGGAATTACAAAAAATCAAAATAATTTTAGTAAGATTACATTTCTCAGGAGAACTTGAATTTCATCTTGAGTGACCTACTTTTAAAATGTACTGGAACTTTATTATATGTGAGTAAAGTTTAACTCTTTAAATTGAACATTGCTCTTCCACATTTCTCAGGAGTCTTGAGACATGTTTAGTATCCAGCCCTGATTTAGTCAGTTGAGTTTCTAGCTCAGGCTTCCCAAGCAGGTAAAGGCAGGGGAAAAGGAAGAAAAAATGGATGGGTGAGGAAGAGAGAAATAATGAAATGCTGGATTAAATTAAAACTCAGCTTTGTTTAACCATGGCAATTGAAAACAAAGATAAATAGGAAACATTTATAGTTTTTATATAATAAATTCAGATTCATATTAATTGGAACTTATAGCTTGGAAGAAAAGGACTCTTCTCTTTGTTCTTTTACTGTATGTTGCATTTCTGGCTCTATTAATATAGTTAGTAAATACCAGATATACTATGCTCTTTGTATTATTATTCTCATCACAAGTCCTACCTCTTCTTCTTTCTCTAACTGCTCACGTAAGGCAGCGTGGGTGGCTGGCCCTTGATTCTGCTTGGAGGATGCCATGGAGAAATCAGTAGATGCTTCCCCTGTTTTTCTTCTCCTGACTGATGTCGGTTGTTTCTTTGGTTGCTATGGCAGAGGGCATGCTTTCAGAACTGTCAGACAAAGACAAGTGCCCTCATTGGCTGGTGCTGGTTGCTTAGGGGAGGAAAAGGAGAAGCTGGCATGAATTCAGACCTGGACTTACTCAGAATTATTTCTGTTGATTTTTTGAAGTGGAATCCTCTTGCATCTCTATTTGTCTGTCTGCCTGTCTGTCTCCCTATCCTATCTTCTAGGGTGTTACAATATTTCAACTTATGGAGAAGAGGATTCTAGAGGAAGATTGTTTTATGTTATGTGCATAGTGCAATATGCAAATTTTATTTATTTATGTTCCTCTGCCATAGGAAAAGTATAAGTGGTTTATTAGATCAGTTTTATTTCTTTTTTTAAAGGTTTAGTTCAGAGCTAACAGAACCTGAAGTAGTATTTCATAATCAGAAGTCTCTACTAGTTACATCACTATTTCTAGTATGAAATCCAGGCTTTGCCACTAACCCTGGGATTGCTGTATGAAATCAGAAGACCTCCAGCTAAATCAGAATTGTAGTGTTGAAATCACAAATCTCTAACAGTAAACCAATCTTGAGAATATATCTTCCTAAAACATTTTTGCAGTTTATTAATACGCTAGCAAGAGGTTTCAGGGTCATCTTTTGAACTTCCTAATTTGCCTCTATTTGATATCTTTCATGACTACTCATAATCTTACCTTCGATGTGTTTTTCCTGTGATTTATCTGATCTTAAAAACATCTGATTTTATTTTTCTTGTTATTTTGTTCTATTAATTGGCATTCTTGACTGAAATATCTGTCCCTTGAATTTTCTTGCCTGATACTGAATATCTTCAGTCATTCATCTTTCTTATTGCCCAAGATATTCATTTATCCTCTCTCTCTGGCTATTATGATGACTTGTTCTGAAAGCTGCTTTAATATTTTTTTTGAAATTTTGAGAATATTTTTTTCTGCTTCAGTTTTGATTATGTCTTTCGTCCTTTTCTAGAACATCTCAGTTTCTTTTTCAGATAAATTAAGTGTACTTAATCTGTTCCTTACACTGATCTTATATTTTGACTGCCATGTCTTCTAGGTCAAATCTTGCTGGCACTGTACTCTGTTTAATTTTTAAAATTGAATCCATGTATTTGATACCAATAATTCATGATGTGCACTTGGAAGTGACCTGGTTGATTGAATTATACTTCTTCATCTTGTTTTCTATTTTGTAGTCAATTTAATTTCAGTGATGTCTACATTTATGTTGCTTGAAGCAGATGTTTTAATAAACAATTTCCTTCCAAAAATTCTGTTATCCTATATTCTACGTTGTTGCATTTACCCACTCAAAATCTTCCTGTACTGTAGTTCCAGATTGCTCTATTCTTCAACTTTGGCATCGTTATATCCTTTCTAAATGTTGTATTTATAACCTCTTGCAATTTACCATAGAATATCTGAATGTCTTCCAGCTTTGCATCTGTAGTTGGGGCATAGACTTTTATAACTTTGATGTTCACTCATAGCTACTAATTTACACAATCTTGTCAATATTGTATTATAGCCATTATATACTTAGTGATGATGTACTTTTTGAGTATCATTACCACTCCAATCCTTTGAATGACTCATGTCCTGAATATCACATAACCTGACTTAAAGGGATTTTTGAACTACCTAAGTTTGTTTATTCTTAGAATATCTATTTAGTGTTATTCATTTCTGCTTTGACAATTTTAAATTTTCCTTGGTTTGCGGTTCTCATCATTTTTCTCTCCTTTTAAATATTTTATGTAGAACTTTACATTCACCCTTTAAGACCTTTACTGTTTTTTAAACATTTATATGTCATTTTTACACAGCTGAAGGCCACTCAGACAGAAATAAATTACTTTAAAGCATCAGTACCTAGGATCTCTAACTCCAAAATTGTAAGCATAGCAAGAATTCTTGTTGTATCGGTTTCATAAAATATTGCATGTTAGTATTACAGCTGGCCATCCAGGTGAAAGAAAAGCTCTACGGAGCAAAGCAACAAACAAGTATTTTGCAGAACTTTGCTATTATTTTCTGAGTACTTAGGAATAGATGTGCTTTCTTTAAAAATGGTCTAAGTGGTGTAACTTTAGCATAACTCCATTATGTAATGTGAATGTGCAGAAGAACCTAAGAGGTGATATATTAAGCTAAATTGGGTAAGGAATATATACAGTGTTGTCACATCTCAACCTGAGCCTATTAGATCCTACTGAGTTCAATGTGATTCCTCCACTTTTTATTTATTTTATAGGATTGAGTCTAATAACCTCTTTCAAACCATGAAACAAGATTAATGTTTTTGCAGGTGTAACAGTTGTTTCTTTTTTATCTTAAAGTCACTAGAAACTAAATAACTGCTGTCATTTGATTACAGAGATAAACACATGAACCCTTGGTTTATTTTGTATGTGTTTTGAATTCATTTGGTAGCCCTGAGTAAGTCAATTACAATCTCAGTTCCCCATCTCCCAAATTGGAATAAAAAACTCCTACGGCTACTTTATATGTACTGAGAGGCCAGACTAAATGGAGATTGGAAAGCTACTTGCACATTAGAAATAATATTAAAAATGGCAAGAAGCAGCAGGATTCTTTCTCCAACCATTAAAAATGTGGCAAGCCACTATGTTCAGTAGAGCACATGTTCATTTCAAGCTTAAATAACAGTTACCAAGTGCTTTTAGTCTTTTCACAAAAGCTGCTATGTGAAGAGAAGAAGGGGGGGGTGTAGTAGAAGTAGTAGTAAGGTTAAAATGAAAGTTATTTCTTTTGTTGATATTTTTGTAAAGCATTATTGTATTATTTGTAAGCAACTCTTTTAGCATTTCCAGAATCCTTTTAAGTGGTTAATAGATAAGACATTGTAGAACAGATAATAGAAAAGAGGGGAAATTATGTATGACAGTTTATTTTAACTTAGAGGTAATACTACATAGCCATTTTTTAATTTTATTGTAAGTGCTTATCTGAGTGGAAGATATAAATACCTAATAAAGAATGGTTTCTGTTAATGCATACTGAATAAAATAACCTAAGAGAAGGTGAACAGTTTTTTCTTGCTGAAGCAATGCTGCAAAAGTGGGCCCTATTGAAATTGCAAGACTTGCTTTCTAACGGCCAAGATACTTTTCTCTGAGGAGTTCTTCTTTGCTGGATGTGTTGAAATGAATGGGATCTGGGCTACTGTTAACCTGGAATTGAATCTTAGGCCAGTCATCTGTGTCCTGTTTTCCAACCATGTATCAGCAGCTGCAGGCTTCTTTTAGCAAATGGAACTTCTTAATTGCAAGGAACCAAAGTCTTCACATCTTTGTAAACAATTCACTTAGCAGACCAAGGCTATTCAACATATGAGATCATATTGTGATGCTTTTTTTGATTTCGTAAAACCACAACAGGGGATTTCATCATCATAATAACACTTTCATTCTTGGTGGCCATGGCTATTGTCCTGTAGCCACAGTAAAATGTCACATTGTGGATTTTCACATGATAAATTGTGAATAGCAAGAGTACATTCTTAAAAGATATTACTAAGTTCCTGGTATGTTTGCAACATAAGTAAAAAAACACTGTTGAAGTCTCTGATTATCACAAAAAAGAAACCAGCATAATATAAACTCTATTTTTTCCTTTTGGAAATCTTCTAATTTTATTTTTCACAATTTCATGGGTTTCTAGTGAGGTATATTTTGATAAAAGAATAGATTCCTTTATGATGACAAATATATATTTTCTTGATCTGCCTATTGACTATCCCATTTTTTCCAGGTTTCCTTCAACGGTCATTCCAGGGCTGCATGCAGTTCATTCATGTGGATGATCAATTGGTGGATTTACATGCAGTAGAGCAAGGAAAGTTGGGAAGTTTTGCCAATATCAGCATTGATATGTGTGCCATTATTGATCGGTAAGCAGTAAGTAAGGTGGATGATAATTATGTAATGAAATAACTTCGAACTCAATATTGTGTTTCTATATTTATTATTTAATTAACTTTTACCATAGCTAGTTACACTTGCAATAACCATTAAAAGACCATGTCTGTTTGGTAGTCATTCCCAAATGATGCATGACACTGAGATGGGATTCTTGCAATAGATCTCTGGGCTGCCTGATGCCTGATGTGTTGGTTATCTTCTAATGAACTGTATTCAACACAATTTATCCTAAAAGGCTGACATCAACAGGTTTGTGTGGCAGATTGGATAAATTTGCTATCACAGTGGGAAACAATTAACGATAGGTTAATTCTAACCTCCTGGCATGTAAGTATTTTTAGGAAGCATTTATAGATAAAAAAAAGAGGGACTGAGAGGGAGCCATTGTCAGGCTGTCCTTGTAAATGTTTGTTTGGTTGGTTGTTTGCTTGCTGTGGTATTGCGGTGAAGATGCTGCTGAGGGCACATGCCTGGCTCTGTTTGGGCTGGAGAGTGGTGGCATGGGTCAAACAGGTTGAACTGGAGTGGAATATAGTGAAGCGGGACGGCCATGCCTATAGTTTGCTGCATTTGCCATTTTTCAGCATTTTTACAACATTTTGTGGCATTTTACGATGTTTGGCTGTCTGTCTGCTGAGCTGTCCTTGGCTTGTTGGAGTGGATGGTGGCTTCTTGGACTTGTCAGCAGGGCTGCCTTTTGAACTTGGCAGAGTTTTTGGGCTGCTCCCCAAAGGACTGGGCTGAGGAGCAAGCTGGAGGATGGACCAAGCTGGGCTGCACTTGCTTTCCTGCTTTACTGTCTGTGTCTGTGGAGTTGGTTTATGCCTGGTGCCTGATTCAGCTATGTGGAGATGACCCTTTCACATCTTTTGTTTCTGCTGCTGCTGGACACTGCTGGATGCTTTTGCTATTGACTGTCCCTTCCTGTATTATTTATTTGTCTTGTTATTGGGACTTGGAGGCATGGGTGATGGTCAGGCACGGGTGGCATTACAGTAGAGTGGCAGGCTACTGTGGTCCCCCTCCCCCCCACCCCGTGGAAACCACTTCACCTTCCCTCCAGGTTAGCCCTGTATAGGAAAGAATAGAGGAAGGAAGGAAGAAAATGATCCGGATCCAGCTCCTGGGTTGTCCCTGGATGTTGATTCCTTCTTCTGGATGAGAGCCAGAAGAGAGATTGGGAGGGAATGATTGGAAGGGAGCCCTTACCAGCTGGTGAGAGCAGCTGTTAGGGCATATGAATGTGTTGTCATTGTGTGTGTTGTAGTGAGTGGGGATGTGATGGCTGGGTACCTTGCTGGTGCTGAGAGCTCATGAAGCTAAAGTGCCTCAGAGTGCCCAACTTCCCCTCCCAGAAATGTTTGAAGAGGACAATAGGAGGTTCCCAGTCTTGGGGGGGGGGTTGGATGTGGGGATGGGGCTGCCATTGGGGTGTGTGTGCAGGCAGTAAATAACATAACAGTATGTTATACCCTTTATAACAGTAAAGGGTAGCCCTTTTGGAGATATGCCCAGCAGGATTTTGGGTGTGGCATCAGCTGAGACTCCAGGACAGGGGTGGGGGGTGTAGCAATTGTCATCTCGAAATCCCTTTCAGCTTTCAGGGGCGTTGCACTGCAGGCCACCAGATGTGACACCCTGTTCATTAAGTTGGGCTGTAGGGATCAGTTGGGATTACTGATGTTGTACCAGCCTCCCTGCTGCATAGCAACCTCCGTGTCTGAGCTCCTTGACTCCATTTCTGGGTTGGCAGAGGCATTCCTCAGACTTATGGTTCTGGGGGATTTCAATCTGCCTTCTAGGAGTGGGGTCTGATGTGGCTTAGGAGATGGCTTCACCATTATTGTGTCCACAGATTGCCATCCCATAGCCCTATTTCAAGTGGCACAAGTCCTCTTGGGTAGAGGGGGCTCAGGGAACCTTTTGCAGGGGCATATGGAGGAATTTGCTCATATCAGTTGGACAAAATCACTCAGATTCACTTGCAGTTGTATGCCAGCCTTGTTGCAGGTCCAGAGGAGATGCCTGGGGTAGAATGTTGCCTGGTTATCTGGGAACAGTTTGAATCTGTTGTATGTGAGGAAGTGGACAGGGTCCTTAGGACTGTGAGCTCAGCCACTTGGTCTTTAGACCCATGCTCCTTCTGGCTTTTGAAAGTGGCTGGGGTATGTGTGTTGTGGAGTAGGTTCACCAGTGGTGAATTCTTCCTTGAGTATGGGGTTGTTCCTTTACTTCTTAAAAAGGCATTGGTTTGCCTCCTCCCCAAGAAGCCATTGCTGGGCTCCACCATACTGGACAATTTTTATCCAGTATCAAACCTCCCCTTTTTGGGGAAAATGGTTGAGAAAGTAGTTGTGCAACAGCTTCAGAGGTCCTTGGATGAAGTGGATTATCTGGATCCTTTTCAGTCCAGATCCAGACCTGGGTATGGGATAGAAATGGCATTAGTTGCACTTTTGGATGTTCTCTGGCATGGTCAGGATGGGGGTTGTGCATCCATCCTTGCCCTGTTTGACCTCTCAGCAGCTTTCAATACCATCAACTATGGTATTCTTCTGGATCAGCTCAGGAGATTGGGGGTGGGTGGCATGGTGTGGTGCTGGTTTGGCTCCCATTCTGCTTCCGGGGGTGAGTCCCAGGAGGCAGACCTTCTCTGCTGTGGTGCCTGCCTTATGGAACATTCTCCCCCACAAAATTGGGTTAGCTCCATCCCTGCAATCACTCCGGAAGTCCCTCAAGACCTGGTTATGTCATCATGCCTGGGGGTTCCAGGGAACAAGAGACATCCCTAGATGGCTCCACTATAGTTGATACTTTTCCTCTTTCCATGTGGTTTGTATATTTTAAATTTTGGATAATATTTTTATTCTTAATAATAATTTTTTATATTTTTATAATGATTGTTTTTAATGTATTTGTTGTCTTATTCAGATGTTGTACACTGCCCAGAGTCACTTTTTGTGAGATGGGTGGCCATATAAATGTGATTAATAAAATAAATAAATAAACAAAGAAATATGAAATGAACCCATTACTGTCATCCATAGCATCTTCAAGGTCTGTTTTACATCAAATTCCTACACAACATACATTTACTACAAGCGTATGCCATGATATTGGCAAATTCAGGATATTTGAATAAATCTCTCCATGTGTGGTATATATTTAGGAAACAAGGTGCTTTGTTATGCTAGGAGCTGCCTCTTTCAGCTCTTCACATTCACTCTCAAATTTATGGCTGCAGCTCAAGAACATTTTTTCATCTACGTATATGTGAATATACTCAGTACATTTAAATATGCCATTGCAATTCATTGCTCTGAAGCTACACAGATGAGCAATTTGTAAAGGCCTACTCCTTTTTTTCAAAATGAGATGAAATGGATAGCATCAACATTCCAATTAAATGATGAGTGATCTTTGAAGAGAGCTACCTTGAGTTGCTTGTTTAGTATATGTATTTAGCCCAAGAAGCTGTTTTTTCCCTCCTGTAGATTTGCTGCAACTTGATATTGAATATTTTGTACAAGCCCTGTCTTTTGCCATGCTATCCTAGGTTCCTATGAGAACTATATGGGCACTCTACTTTTTGAAGTAAGCATAAAACTTTAGTTAATCCTAATGAAGAACAAAAATACAATTTGAAATACTATCATCACGTTTATTATCCTTAACTTTCATCGTTACCCTCTGTGAAAACCTCTGTCCCCCTTGCTGATTATGAAAATTGGTTAACTGCCAAAACAAAAAATGCATGAAAGCTACTCTTATTTGCTAGGCATAGCTGTGACCTTTTGGTGCATTGTGAACTATGTTAGTGATGATGCATATGTTTGCATGTAGTGGGCCCAGTTATAATCCAGCCAGCAGCAGCAGCTTACAAATGACTAATGTGTGATTTTTTTATTTTTACAAAAGAATAAAAGTACAAACTAAAAATACAAACTAAGAATGAAAAAATCCTAACATTTTATACTTATCAATAGTCACTGGTTTACCAATGAATTCACTATTATAATATGAACAAGGTATTATTGTAATCTATCATAGAATCTTTGTTATAGTAATACTTATGGCTGCATTCTTTGATTAGTAGAAAATACTCCCTTTTCCAAAATAGATCGATCATACATTTCCAACAACCATCCCTTGACATCTGGAATAATATCACTTTTCCAATTTCTTAATATAATTCTTTTGGCCACCCCCTATGCTTGATACAACCATAATTCCTGATAAACAAACTACAATGATTTGCTATATAATTCAACATTACATTAACAATTTTACCATTTAAAGATTTTCCCCAAAATTTGCTAATATACACTGATACACTATCCCAAAAAAATACTAAATGCTCATATGACCATACAATATGGTCAATGAGCCCTCAAATTTTTTTACACCTCCAGTATGAAAAGTTTGATGCTGAGTAATGCATCATTTAATTTAGCTGACATCAGTAGAAACTGTAACTGAAATATTCCAGGTAAAATTGAAAGATTATATTATGGGGCTTCTTCAAAAAATACAACATCCCCATTTTTTCAGTGCCTTTCCCCTGTAATTTCTAGAGTCATTTATTCCTGTGTTGCTGACATAATACTAGTGCATTGTTTCATGCATATGCTTGGCTGGGCTAAAAAGAAAAAATGCAGATCACCATGACATTGCAACAGGAGAAGAATTTAATCAGTTATGAGCTATTGCTGTATGGATAGATGTGTGTGTTTGCACAGAGAAGTCAATAATGCTGGGAAAGATAGAAGGAAAGAGAAGAAGATGACCAGCAGAAAGGTGGATGGATTCAATTACAGCAGTGATGGGTGCACTGTTGGAAGAATTGAAGAACTAGTTCAGGACAAACTGTCCAGGAGAAAAATCTATCTATATGGTTGCAACTTCAACTTGATGGTACATTATCAAACATATATGTGTGTGTATATATGATATATATATATATGAGAGA